AAAACAAAAACACACAAAAGCTCAAAACCTAAAATCACTTGTTGGGGTCTGGGTCTCCGGAGAATCGGTTTGATATGAAGCTACTTTAGAAACAAAAGCCAAAGCTTGACTTTTTTTCTGGCAGCCCTGTACTCCTTATAAAACTCATTTTCTATCCCAAAGAACAAAAGCAAGGGACTGAGAGAGGGGGGTCCCGGGAGCGGGGCCTGAGAGAGGGAGCTGGGGAAATGGGGGCCGGGGAGAGGGGGCAGTGCAGGCTTCATATGCGGGACCCCCACACCCCATCTTCAGCACTGCATGTCCCCCTAAACACAAACACCACCAGGAGAAAACCCCAGACCCCCGAGCACCACTGGGTGTGACCCCTAAACAGCATGGGTGTCGAGGGGACAGCTCAAATGGCCAGAGCAAAGGCACATAGGACCTAAATTGGATCCCACCACTGCATGGACCCCCCGGGAGGTCACAGCTCGTGGCTCATAAATCGCCCCCCAGAAAGCTGGGACTGCTCACAGAGAGCTCGACAGCAGTCCCTTCTAGAAAGTCCAGCGACGCCGATGACTTCCGGCTGGAAAGACATTCACTTCCAAGTTCATGGGTTAGGACAGGCAGCAGCGGCTAGAAAGAGGAAGCCCCAGGCCACAGCCCAACCAGGCCACCCAGAGCACCGGCTGGACGGTGCTGCCCCCATGTGGCCGCTGAGCTGCACTGAGGCCAGGCCAGCCATCCTGGAGAAATAAAAGATACAGCTGGGGGGGGGGGGGGGGGGGGGGAGCGGGGGCGTAGGATGCAGACTCCAAGGGCTGGAGTGAGGCTTTGCATGGAGGAACCGCAGGTCCAAACCCCAGCACGACACGGTTCCCCGAGCACTGTTGACGTGTCCCTCCCCACCCCCATAAGAGAATCCCACGGGGGGCTGGGGAGTTAAGTCAGAGGTCTGTGCCTCCCCCACCAAGCCTCGCAGTCCATCTCTGCAGAGCTCCAAGACCCCCCCACAACCCACACAGACCCAACAGAATGGGGGAGGCTTCATCTCCGAAGCCCCCCACACCTTGGCTGCAGGACCGGGCTGCCCAGGTGCGGTTCTCGAGGCAGCTCTCAGTGCGGGCGCTGGCTGGGGGTGGTGGAGGGAGTAGGTAGAAGAGCACCCAGGTACAGAGCGGGGGGTGTGCGAGGCGGAAGTGGGGGCAGAGGGCCCCGGGCTGGCCTGGCTCTGGGCGCACAGCCTGATGGGCTCAGAGAAGAGCTGCAGGAAGAGCAGCGAGACGAGGAGCGGAGGGAGCACCCTCCAGCCCAGCCCGCGAGAAGGGAGTCTCTGCCCTGAGAGAGAAGCAAAGCCAGACTCTGTGCCCGGTGCCGCTGCAGATGTGGTGGAGGCGGGAGGTTGTGTCCCCGCCAGGCCTGGACTGGCTCCTCTCAGAAGCCAAGCCTGGAAGAGCAGAGGCAGCAAAGGGCCCGGCGAGCTCATGGGAAGAGCTGGAGGGGGCCGGGGCTGGCAGAGGCCCGAAAGGCCTGAGTCTGGGCTGTGAGGTCAGCAGCAGGGGCCAGGGAGGAATTGTGAGGGGCAGCAGAGCGAGACCCCAAGCTCTGTCCCAGGTACCTCGGGGCCTCTGGGGGCTGCTGGGGGGCTCTGGAGGGTCCCAGCCACAACACCCAGAATCCCGAGCACTGCTGGGAGGCACTTCCCAAACTATTCAAACACCAACCCATTACAGACAAAGGCTGACACGGCCAGGGAGAGGGTCAGAATAGGTGCATCCAATGTTGCCAGCACCAATCAGGGTCACACCCCGCCCCCACCTTCACCACCACCACCCTGAGACCCTCACCCCTGTCTCCAGCAACCCCCATGCCACCACCAACACCCCTACCTCTACCACAGCACCACCCCCAATGCCACTCTCTCTCCAATGCCACTACTCCCTCCCCCATCACCTCCATATACCCTCATGACCACAAGCATTCTTACCTCCCCCTCGTGACTTCCAGCTCCACCAATGCCAGCTTCATCTCCACCACCAACACAGCACCATCTTAGCACCAGTATCACCATCACCATCCCCACCTCCATCTCCACCACCTCCACTGCTATCTTTACTCCACGACCATCTTCAGCTGCAGGATCTTCACCTTCCCGTTTCCACTGACGCCCCACCCCCAAACCACCCACCAATCCGACCACCATCACACTTCCAGCTCCACCAATGTCAGCATCAGTTCTTCCACCACCACCACCACTAAAATCACCTCCATGCGCCCCACTACCAACACCTTCACTCTCCGACCAACAGCACCTCCCCCAACCCAATATGACCATCTCCACACCAGGACCACTAACACCCCCAGAACTGCCACTGTGGCCTAGCCAGCGCTGCACATGCCTGGCAGTGATGCCCACACATTTGTCTGCAGAGCTTGCTCGGTTGGCACGTCTACTGTGACGCCCACACCAAGGCCGCAGGGCACACACAGGTAGAGATCATGTAATTCAGCTCCAGTGCTCAGCACAGGTGTCTGTGTTGCTCATCCATGTGTCCCGGGTTCATGGGCACAGTGGACAGGCTCACACACAGCCAGTGGGGTCCCTTGCCGGGACGTGGCACAGCCACGGCAGTGCCTGCACACCCAGGCTGTGTGCTACAGCTCTGCACACTCTGCAGCTGCTGGCCCGGAGTCTCAGGGGTCTCAGGGAGCAGAGATGACCACCACAATCATCTCAACGCCAAATCCACCAGCAAATCCAACACCAAACCTCACTACCAACACCACTACCAGCAAATCTAACACCAACACCAGCACCCCACTGCCAACACCACCCCCACCAGCTCCTTTAGCATCAACACCACCACCCCCTGCTAACACCCCCCTGGCACCCCATATGGTCCCCCAAACACCACCAGGAGTGCAAAACCATCCCGGGCTGCAAAACCAGGAGTAAGTGCTGAGCGCTGGTTTGGCCCCCAGACAAAGGAAGAATAAAGAAAGGAATCAATTCAGCAGATTTTAACCACACTCATGGAGTTCGATGTTGGGGTCCTCATGAGCGGAGCTGGGGTACAGATATGGGAGCCTGGGAGCAAACTCGGGGGTGGAGCAATCAAGGAACGTGCCCAACCACACATGGCGCTTTCTCCTGCTTGGATGGCATAATCACTTCTATCGGATCAGCCGTCACAGAACAGATCAGGACGGAGCTACGGTCAATTTTAAATCCTATTCAGTACAGTAAACAGATCCTCTGCCAGCTTTTCCTCTCTGTACAGTCTGTCCAGGCCCCAGGTCCAATGACTGAGCGACATCACTTCTGTAAGAATTATCGCTAAAATGGGGAAAATAAAAAGTGAAAAATACAGACTCTCCCCATCCCCCGATGTTTACAGCGATTGTAGGTGAGAGTTAGAGAAGCCACAGCCTCCAGAGAACTTTGGTTTAATGTTATACAACCTTGCAACCGCAACCATCAATAGAGCCAGCCAAATTCAGAGCTTTAGCACGCAAAGGGGAGAAAAAAAAACACATCAAAACACTGGCGCTTGAGTCCTGCCACAAAACCTCAGCATAAAGAAAATTCAAGAATTTCATTGTGGCCTTCAAAGTCTCTCTTCTAAACAAGGTCAATACAATTGATCAGAAAGGCCAGGGAAGGGAGCCATATCCCTTCCAAAACATCAACAAATGGGCATCACGCCCATAGACCACCTGTCCCCGTGGCTGGGCAAAATGTCATCGGGGACACAAATCAGTCTGAATCGAACATTGCCACCAGGGTGAGGTTCTGCCAAGGAGACATGCGCTACACTCCTTCCTGGTCTACCAGGAAGCTGGATGCAGGGGTCCTCACATTGTCATGGGGGGTTGTTTCCTGTGGCCTATCCAGAGACCCCCCTAAGCATCCCTGGAAATAAATCTTTGCAGTGGACCATCCTCTCTGCCCCCTGTTACCTGTGAAAAGTCACAGGCTCCAGTGGCTGGGGACCACATGGTACATCAGCCCCCGCTTCAGAACAATACGGCTGGAGGCGTTGTGCCAGGCCATGTTCAAGTTCTCAGGAGAACTGCATCTTCTTGACCACACTCAGTGCTGATGAGCCTGAAGACACAGGCTGACAGCAACTCACACGAGATGGATGTGGGTTCACACACACGCTGGATTAGGGACCCCTGCCAGTGCCAAATTCCTGAGAGTGTCGGAGTCATTTCCACTCCCCATGAATCCTGCTTCCCATCAGGGGGAAAAATATGTGGATTTGCCATTTTCTAAGACATTGGCATTAATCCTATACTGAAGTTCAGTCTTTTAACTGAGGAATAACTGACAGAGGGCCGTGATATCAGTCTCAAGTGTACACCATTACGATCTACATTTGCAAACACTGCCAAACATCACCACTGTAAGTCTAGCAGCCCCACAAAAATGACACATATCCCCTCAGGGATAGGAAGTACAAAGAGGCACCCCTTGGCAACTTGGCACACACCACGTTATTATACCCCAGCCACTGCCACTCATTTGCTTTTGGTTGTGGAGTTTAGGCCACATTTCTTTATCTTGGTTTTTTGACCCGCATTCTGAACCATCCATTAGAAACAGCTCATGCAGAGACTGGGAAGAAAACATTCTTTTAGCGGCTCGAGCGATAGTATAGCGGGGAGGGCACTTGCCTTGCACATAGCCAAGTCGGGTTTGATTCCCAGAATCCCATTTGGGTACCCCCAGCACTTCCAGGAGTCATTCCTGAGTGCAGAGCCAGGAGTCAGCCCTAGAACCACTGGGCGTGACTCCCAAACAACATTTTTAAAAAGATAAAAGAAAAGAAACTGTGCTCGTAGGCACCCATTGGAGAAATGGGCTCTGACCAAAAAGAGATGCTCTTTCTCTGTCCTCAAACAAGTCTCCTGGATGTGCCCAACAATGACAAAAGAAGCAAAGGTCTGCTCGGTCTTTGAAAGGAACAGGAAAACCCCGACAGCACTGGGCAGGCAAGGAGCGTGCGGCTTACCGTGAGTTCACAGAAGTCGATACTATCCAGGCTCTTGCTCCGGTGTAAGCGCCCTTTAATGCGTCGTAAGGAAGGTTTGCCCTGGCTCACACCAGAAGTAGCACCATGAGGATTTTCAGAGGATGGCGTGACCCTAGAAAGGGAGAGGAAATTGTCAAGTGGTGTCTGGGGGGGGGGGCGCAGTGTCCTGTGAGCATCCACGAAAGGGCAGCTGGAGAAATGCCATTATTCCTGGGGCCAGAGCCTAGGACAACAGAGAGGGCATTTGCCTGGCACTCAACCGACCAGGGTTTGATCCCCAGCATCCTATAGAGTCCCCAGAGCACTTCCAGGAGTCATTCCTGAGTGCAGAGACAGGAGTAAGCCCTGAGCATCGCTGGATATGGCCCAAAAATGAAAAAGAAAACAGAAAGCCATCATTCTTAAAATGTCCTCAATGTTTTTTTGTTTTGTTTTACTTTTTTGATCACACCCAGCAATACTCAAGGTTTACTCCTGGATCTGCATTCAGGAATCACTCCTGACAATGCTTGGGGGACCCTATGGGATGCCGGGGATTGAACCCGGGTCAACAGTGTGCAAGGGAAATACCCTCCCCGCTGTACTATTGCTCTGGTCCCCAAATGTCCTCAATTCTGGGGCCAGACCAATAGGATGCTGGCCTTGCATGCAACTGACCTGGGTTCCACACCCGGCATCCATAGAGTCCCCTGAGTCAAGCCAGGAGTGATCCCTGAGAGTCAAACGTCAGCACAGAGCACTGCCAGGTGCCTTCCCTCCAAACAAACAACAGAAAAAGAGTCATCACTTCTGGGCTTCAGCCAAGGGTAACGGCAGAGCTGCAGCTGGCCACATACCCACTTCCCAAGTCCTTCTTAGCCACGCAGTGGTTCAGAAACGGCTCTTGTTAGAGCCCTGATAATCCAACTTTTGGATTCACTAAAAGTGGAGGGGGGTGTGGGAGAGTTAGCCTCGCTCTCCACCTGTTTTCCAGGGAATAGGTCTGTCCAGATGATGTTGGGCAGCATGAAACAGATCTAAAATTAACAGGACTACCTGACCCAGCAAACTCAACAAGAAGGAAAGTTGAAAATCATCTGGCTTCTAGAGCAGATGGATTCTATCCTCAGGCAGAGCGCACACTAGGGTCAGACACCACTTGGCACCGCCCCATGCTCATGCATAGACACACACTCAAGATATGGGTTTTCTCTCTAGGGGTGCCACAGTGCTGGGGAGGGCACGGGTGCCTCTACTCCAAGCATGACCTCAGACTTTCTGAGTCACATTTTGGAGTAAGGTGCTCGGAAACATGGGATTATCTATATTAAATTACTATCCTCGAATGACAAAGATGACCAAGAAAGAAATTTGTAAGAAAGGCTTGTGAAAATCAGCTGTCTTATTGTAAGCTTAAAAATGGGGACGCTTGTCCATCTTTATGACCCACTTCCTTTGTTACAGATCGAAAATGTCTGAAAGGGATAAAAATCGGTCTCTTGTTATTTACAGAAGAATGCACACAGTGGACGATTAGCAAAACCGGTTTAATTTTATGTAAGAATAAAGATCATCGAGGCCGGAGTGATAGTCCAGCGGGGAGGGCTCTTTCCTTGCACGCAGCCAAACCCTGGTTCGATCCCTAGTACCATCTATGGTCCCCCAGCACCACCAGGAGTAACCCCTGAGCATCGCCTGGTGCGGCTCCCCCTAAGCCCCCCTAAAATAGAGGACATAAGGGGGAGCAAATCAAGAATTGTAAAGCCATAACTTCCGTTTCCTCCTGCACTCTATTCTGGTCTGGTCTGATCCCGTCTGGCCTTGCTGTCAGATTACAGCAGAAGGAAAAAATGCAAACCATGTGGAATTCTTCCTAATTTGGGGGCATCAGATAGAACAAAACACCCCCGTTTCGCCTGTTTTTCAAACCCCAAAAAACAAAATTCTACAGACAGGAAGGATCGTTTCTATACACTCGATTTTAGATATGACAAGGGGCCAGCAAATGTATCGGCCTAATTCCAATCCCCTCTGGACTCCAGGCCTCGGGGATGCTCCAAGGGCGGAGGTCCAGGCTCTGCATGGGGGAGCCCCTGAGCACCACCAGGGGTGCACACTCCCCCCAAAAACCCCTAATGTCCTACTAACCCCCATGATGGAATGAACTACAAAAGAAGAATCATAAATAAACCAAGGGGAGTCAACCCCCTCACCCACACCTCCTCCTTCATCATGGGTCACTGGCTTCTCATCCTGGCTGTGGACAGTCCCTCGGCTGAGGGCATTAAAGAATAAAAAGGAGCGATAATACACAGGGAGCTGCCTGTATACCGCAGACCAGATTCAATTCCCAGAACCTCCATAGGGTCTCTTAAGCTCCGCGAGGAGTGATCCCTTGAGTACAGAGACAGCAGTCAGCCCTGAGCATCACTAGATGTGGCCCCCAAACCAAAAATAAATAAAAGAAAAATTGATCTGATACTCCATCTCATCATGCTGCTATCAACTCAACCAAACTTCTGCTTGAGGTCCCTGTGGGAGGGAAGACAGGCTGGCTGCGTAAGAAAAGGGGAACTTCTGCCACCTTCTGCCAAGTGCCATCTGGACATTTAGAACATCCGCCAGAGAGATGTCTCCAGACACCTCGCCAGACTGAACCTCATTTCCAGGGCGACCCGGAGTGGGGCGAGTGAGCCCACCACCGTCCCAACAGAGCCCCAGCAGCTGAGAACCTCCAAAACCCAGTTGCTGCCCAGTTCACAGCCAATCTCCACGGGCTCGGGACAAGCCTCATCCATGAGAATGAATCTGCTGAAAAAACTCAGGTATGTGGCTTTGGTGACGGAAATCCCCAGGCTCACACGGAGCTGGGGATGGATGACCTCCCCCCACTCTCCTGGAGCCTGGCAGTCACGCCCATAAACTGCCTCAGGTGCCATAGAAGCTCATTTACGACCATGATCCTGAGATTCATCAATAAATCTCGGAAGAGAGCAACAAGCTGCTTAGAGACCTCCGAACCCCAAAGTCATCTCCAGTTGTAGCACTGTAGCACTGTCCTCCCATTGTTCATCGATTTGCTTGAGTGAGCCCAGTAACGTCTCCATTGTGAGACTTTTTGTTACTGTGTTTGGCATATCGAATACGTCATGGGGAGCTTGCCAGGCAGTATCACCCAATTTAAAATTTTGGAATTCCTGGAGCACATGGGCATAATCAAGGCCACCTGAGATTCCATGCTCTACTCCACCGATGTACCAAGAGTGGCACAGCACAGATGATGGGGTGTAAGGTAGAAGGCAACTGATCTCCATCAATAAATAAGTAGATATTAGCACACAAGGCTCAACATGTAACAACATGCTAGTAATCTCTTATACAAGGGCTTACTGGCTCCCGGGTGAGATACAACAATCTTCACACATTTTCCTCTAAAGAAACTTTTCTAAATCATTTTTAACAGATTATTCATAACAAGCAATACAAAATAAATTATTTAGGACCAGCTTTTGGGGCAGGGATGGGTGATGGTAGGAAAATTCGAAATAATGGTGGTGGGAAGGTATAATGGTGGTGAGATTGGTGTTGGGATATTGAAAATAATAAATTATTGTGAAATTTTTATAAAAATAAAATAAAATTGGAAAAAATTAAAATATATATGTATTTTTAAAAAGATAAAGAAAAAGAACATCCGCCAAAGGTTGCATGCGTGTTGCATCATGACCAGGGCCAGATGCCCCTGGCTTAGCAACAAGTCTTTATTGGTTTTAATGGGGGTGGGGGGTTGGGTTGCTCTTAGTGGTGCCTGTTGGGTGGGGGGGGACTCTATGCAGTTCCGGGGATAGAACCCAGGGCTGGCTGCGAGCGAAACAAATTCCTCTACCACAGTGCTAGTTCTCTGACCCCCATAGCAGCATCCCTGCATGGGACGCCACCCAACATGCCAGTGGCCCCAAGGGGCCCTAAATGTCTCCCCATACCCCATAGGTCCCCAACCTGCTACTTCAGGGACCGTCCAGCCAGTTATTGCTCATGACCTTGGGGACCTAGTTCCAAGCCCTTTATTTATTTATTTTTTTGTAATTGAATCACAGTGAGATACACAGTCATAAGGTTTCTCAAGGTTAGGTTTCAGTCATACAATGTTCCAACACTTGTCCCTTCACCAGTGTACATTTCCCATCACCAATGTCCCCAGGTTCCCTCCTATCCCACCCCTGCCTGCCTCTGTGACAGGCACTCACTTCTCTCTCTCTCTCTCTCTCTCTCTCTCTCTCTCTCTCTCTCTCTCTCTCTCTCTCTTCCCCATGCCCCCACCCTTTGGGCATTATGGTTTGCCCCTACAGATACTAAAAGGTTATCATGCACATCCCTTTACCTACTTTCAACACTCAGTTCTTGTCCAGAGCCATCATGTCCAACTATTGTTGTCACAGTGGTCCTTTCTCTGTCCTAAATGCCCTTCCTACCCCCCCCCCCCCAACACACACACATCCGTGGCAAGCTTCCAACCACTGATCAGTCCTCCTGGCCCAGACATTTTTGACCATGGCTCACTCCAGGCCAATGAGTCCCAACTTCCTCTCCCTGGCCCAATTCTGATTTCCAAGGAAAAAGCAAGCGCTAAAAATAAAGGATCTGACCCCAGCGTTCTATGTCCAGCGCCACACATGGCCCTGAGGACCGCAACAACAGGCCCTCTGGGCACTACTGGGTGTGGCCCCTAAAGTGAAGAAAGAAACAAATGAAGAAAGAACTTTGCCTGAAGAATCTGAGATCCTGAAAGCCCAGGCTGTTCCACCAAGGGACCAGCAAAAGCTCCGTCTCACCCACTATTCCTTCCCACCTGCCAGCAGGGGCAGGGCAGGAAAACCCAGGGAGTGGATGCCCGGATGAACAGCACCTTCCCTCAAAAAGAAGAGAACTCCAAACCACAGTGTGGAAGTGGGTACCTGAAACCACCAGTGCTTAGGCCAGCTGGCATCAGGACACCAGAACCAGGTCAAGCCCAGATCTATCCCCAACATCACCTAAGTCCCCCTGAGCCCTCCTGCAGTGGCCCAAACTCCTCTTGCCCCAGTGATTCAAATAAAGTCAAATCTGATTCTATTGATGAGAATAATATTCTCTCTGGGCAGGGTCATAGTGGAAGGGCCTCCGTGGTTCTCAGGAAAAAGGACTGAACTGTCCGATGTCAACATCAAGAAAGGCCAGGCCTGTGGCCAACAGCAGGGGAGGGGATGCGCATCCGTGAACAAAGAACATTCTAGAAGGTCTTCCCCTGTGTCATGTCCTTGCACCAAGCTTTTTTTTTTTTTTAAAAAAAACCCAGCCTCTGATGTGTGATTCTGGGGGGCCATGACTTCATTGTAAAACCGGAAACACACAGCCTACCCCCAGAAGAGTAAGTGGCCCCTTACTCTTACAGCTTAGAGCATCCCTGGAAAGTCCTTTTTGGTGGCATGAGGTCTCCCCAACAGTGCTGTACGGGGCATGGGGGGGGTGCATTGGTCGCCCCCTCCTCCCCATGATACTGGGCCTGCATGCGCTGCTCAGGCCCGGGGATGCTTGGGACCACCAGGGCCATCCCAGCAAGGTTCAGGGCACACAGCGGGTCCAGGGACAGTTGTCAGAGAACTCTGTATCTCCGGGCGCTGGTAGCTTAGTTAAGCTCGGGAAAGGCAGCCAAACTGGATTCCAGGTGACCTTACGGGTTGATTCTTCCAGGCCTTCAGAGCTAGCCAGACCAAATGCCCAGGACAAGCCTATTTCCCCTCAAAGCTCTCTGCCCTCAGACCCAGGACCACATGAACACTTCAAGGAGCCCGGTGGAAAACTCAAGACTTGACACTAATAAAACGACGATGAAAACATTCTTCACTTTCCACAGGAAACAGAACAGGAATGACTATTATTTGGGCCACACACTGGCTGAGCAGTGAGGAGTTAGCCCAGGGCCGGGGGGCGGGGGGTGTGAAAGGCACCCCCTCTCCCTGCATGTCCATGCCCCAGGAAACTGGGCTGGGCCAGGGGCCAGGGAGAGTCCAGGGCTTAGGGAACAGGCTGGAAAGCGCCCGACTTCCCAGACATCATGGGGTGGCCCTGCTGGTCCCCAGTCAAATGAGGCACCAGTGGGCATGCCCTGGAAGCATCATGGGTCAGTCAACTACAGGGGCCGGACAGAAACTACAGCAAGTAGGAGACATGCCTTGCACACAGCCGAGCGGGCCCCATATAGTCCCATACGGTACCCTGAGCTCACCTGGGGTGATCCCTGAGCCCAGAGCCAGAAGTAGTCCTGAGCACTGCCAGGTTTGTCCCAAAAAGCAGTAAGAAAAAGAGATAGATAGATAGATAGATAGATAGATAGATAGATAGATAGAGTATATGTTCACATCTTCGTAGAAAGCCCCAGAGGGCCAGGACTATGTCCACAGTCCATCCTGCCCATCTGGCCCATGACCAGATGGGACCCCCTACTGCTCTGCAGAAAGAACTTCACTCTCACGCCTTCAACAACCCCCACCCCAAACATGGCTCCCGTCTCGAATTCTCCAGGAGCACTGGCTTCCACACTGTCTCATCTAAGTGATTCTAGAAAATCAACTGCTGACATGAGTCCCTGGGTTTGATCCCTGACACAGCGTGTTTACCTACCAGGTTATCTACCAGGCATTGCCACAGGGAGTGGCCCCAGCCAACCAAGCACTGCCAGGTGTGGCCCTTACAATGAAGTGAAACAACTCAAATCAAACTTACTGCACTTAAAAAAAAAATCAAACTTAAAAAATTTAGTGATCTCACTTTTTGTGGAGGACTTGGGGCCATACCCAGCGATGCTCAGGGGTTACTCCTGGCTCTGCACTCAGGGATCACTCCTGGCGGTGCTCAGGGGACCATATGGGATGCTGGAGATTGAACCCGGGTCAGTCACATGCAAGGCAGCCACCTTACCCACTGTCCTATCACTCTGGTCTCCCAGCTTTTATTTCCTGTGTCCGATTTTAATAGACCCCACACTGGGGGTTAATTTTCCCAAACAGTTCCTCCAATAGAATTCTCACATCTTAGTTTTTAATTCTAACATCCAGAAAACAGAACGCTTTGACTTTCTCTCCCCAGTTCACACTATGAAGAATTCAGCTACACCGCACACATCTTTTGAGAACCCTTGTGGTTTTGGTGTTTGGCTTGGGGGCCACACCTGGCAGTGCTCAGGGATTACTCCAAACTCTGGGTTCCAGGATCACTCCTGGAGGTGCTCGGGGGATCCGATGCAGTGCTGAAGACAGAACTTGGGTTGGCTGTTTGTAAGGCAAGCGCCTTAACCCCTATACTATCTCTCTGGCTCTCAGAATCTATTTGGACCAGACACTCGTTGTAGGACTTAGACATGAGCTATGTGCAAAAGTCCTGCTCTCATGCAACTGACACTCTAGGTGGGGGAAAGGGCGCTAGACCTAAAAATTCAGTGTGCCATGGAGGGTTAGGTATTGCTGAGTGCTCAGGAAAAAGGACAAGTAGAGGGGCCAAAGAGATAGTACAATGGGCAGGGCGCTTGTCTTCCACATGGCAGGCTCCAGGCTCAATCCCCAGCACCACATCTGATCCTGTGAGCCTCACCAGGAGTGATTCTTGATGATGAACCAAGAAGCAAGAGTAAGCCCTGAACACTGTCAGGTGTGACCCAAAAATTAAAAAAGAAGAAAAGCAAGGAGGGCATAAGACTCTTAGTGCTGGAGGCCTGAGTGGTAGTAAAGTGGGTTGGGAACTTGCCTTGCTTGTGGCCAACTCAGGGTTGATCCCCAGCACCCCAAAAGGTCCTCCAAGCCCCACCAGGAGTGATACCTGAGCACAGAGCCAGGAGGAAGCCCTGGGCACTGCCAGGTGTGCCCCCCAAACAAACAAAAAGACTCTTGGTGCTGACCTCTCAATATAAAGATTTAAAACTATATAAAAATATATGTTTATATTTTATTTCTATTGTATATGTTTAGAGTTCTGGGGTCCATAGCTCAAGGGCTACTCCCAACAATACTTAGGAGACTAGGCATTGGTGGGGATCAAGCCAGGGTCCTCTGCCCACAAGGCATGAGCCTCAACCCCTGCACCATCTCTGCAGCCCTGACCCCTGTATTTTTTCTGAAAAGTTCTTCTCTGATGCTTCTGACACCTGATAATGACCTTTGCCTCCTCCATCTGAAAGAACCTGCTTCCAAGTCCAGCTCCTAATTGGACCGGACGAGTCGCTTGCTCCTCATCAAATTTAAAGATCTCCCATTTTATTTACTTTTATTTTTTGGTGTGGGGCACACCCGTGATGCTCAGGGCTTACTCCTACTCTGAACTCACGGATCACTCCTGACCATGTTCATGGACCCTATGGATGCCAAGGATCAAGCCTGGGATGCTCCCATGCAAGGTAAGTGCCACTCTCTCTCCAGCCGGGCCTTGTTCTCATTTTTAAGCAAATGGGGGCAGGGTGGGGGGAATGAACTGCTACTTGCAAGCGCCAGGTCCAGCTTGGGGACTTCATTATTTCAGCCCATCTGGCCGCTGAGCTCCCTGGCACTCATTTCACGGAGGAGCAGAGGACGCCAGAGCTGAAATGCCAACTCCACCTCCCCTTCCTTTGATTTTATCCTTCTTCATTTGTGGGGTGGAGGGGCTTTGTCTTAACTCCCCATTTCTCCACTCTTAATGTATTTTCCTTTGTTCGTTCCCACTTGGCTGCTCCGTCCTTTCAGCCTGTCTTAGAGACCAGAATCCACTTTTCTTAAAATGCCTGACAGCCGCCTCAGTGCCCCAAGACGCTGCTGAAACGCGCAGGACCATAGGGGACCACTCACTCCAAAATTCAACCCCGGAATACCAAGAAAGGTCCACGATCTTCTCTTTCTCTCCCCCCCCCCCGCAGACCCACCCCTTCTTTCCTAGCCCCTCCCCCAATTCTTCTTCCTTGATTATTTGGGGATAGCACCTCCGTACTCAAGTCTCAAGTATGCCTTGGCCATGGGCTCCATACCACATATTTCAAATACTCGCAAAATCCAACGCGACCCCGTCGTGCCCGCACACAGCGCGCTGGGGCTCGCTAAGTTCCCGGGTGGTGCGGGGCGGGGGGGCATGCAGTTAAGTTTGCAGATCTGAGGAGGGGGGGCGCACAGGCCGGACCCGTCGCACCGGGAGCGTTGCACCTGCGCCTCCAGCCCACCCTCACCCCGGACCCCCGAGCAGAGACGCCCGGAGACGCGGTGCGCGCCGGGTCCGGCGCCTCCAGCGCGCGCACGGGGCAAAGGGCGAGTCCGGGGTCGGGGCCCAGCGCGGCGGGCAGCGCGGGAGGCGCGCGGGGCGCTCGGCCCGGGCATCCCCGAAATGGCTGCGGCACGCCCCGGGCCGGGCCTCCGCGGCCTCCTCGCGCGACCCGCGGCCTCCCTGCGCCCCCCGCGCGCCCCGTGCAACCCCCGGCCCGATGCACCCCCCGCGGCCTCCCAGCGCGCCCCGTGCACCTCCCTTGCCCCCGCGCGCCCCGTGCAACCCCGTGCACCCCCGGGCCTCCGCGCGCCCCCCGCGCGCCCCGTGCAACCCCGCGCCCCCGGCGCCCGTGCACACCCCGCGCCCCACGGCCTCCCCGCGCACCCCGTGCGCCCCCCGCGCCCCGTGCGCTCCCCGCGCGCGCTCGCGGCCTCCCCGCGCCCGCCGCGCGCCCCCCGCGCTCACCACAGCCGGCGCTTGAGCGGCAGGAGGCTGCCGCGGTTGGACGGGGTGACGCCGATGGCCATCTGCAGCACCGTCAGGTATTTCTGGTACTTCATGGTGTCCCCGCCGCGCTCGCGCCCCGGGCCCCGCCGCCGCCGCCGGCGCCGCAGACACCGCAGCGCCCGCAGCCCCGCCAGGCGCCGCATAGATCAGCCCTGGGCCATCGGCCGCCGCCGCCAGCGCCGCTCCCGCTCCCGCCGCCAACGCCGTGCGTGCCCGGCCGCTCCCCGCCAGCGCGTGCGTGCCCGCCCCGCGCCGCCCCGCCCCGCGCCGCCCGCGCCCGCCTCAGTTTCCCCGGCCGCCGCCCCACGGCCCCACGGGCGGCGCGAGCAGCGAGCGGCCGACACGGGCGGTGGATTTCTCGGCGCGGGGAAGGGCGCGGGCGTCGCGCCAGATGCTGCGCGCGGGTGAAGGATGTCCGCGCGCGGGCCCGCGGGCCGGCGCTGCTTACACGCACGCTCGTGTGCACGCGACACGCGTGCGCCATTTACACGCACGGCTCATGCCCACACCACTCGTGTGCGCTCGTGCACAGTTCAAGTACACGCTACACATGGGTGCCGATGTACACGGTTCATGAGCGCACTACATGTGCGTGCCTGTTTACTCGTGTGATGTGTGTACGTACACTCTGTGCCTGTGCCTACTTACGCACAGTGTGTCTACTCATTTATACGCATGATTTATGTATGCGCTCTACATAGTGTGCCTGTACATTTACATGCACGGTTTGTGTACACACATTACATATGCTGCCTGTGTCCATTTACGTAGTTTAGGTGCACACATTATATTCGTGTGTTTGTGTTCATTTACCATACAAGCACAGTTACGCAAATTTGCTTACACAACGCATGTGCATGCATTCTGCCTGACGTGTGCACACATTTGCACATCCATGCCATTTGTGTGTACATATTGACTTATTGCTGATCATGCAATTACATATATATGTACACGTATATGCACAGCGCAGATGTTGCATATTACACAATGTCACATATATGCTTTGCAAATATGTATGTGTTTGCATGCATGGTGCAAAGCACAGTCTATATAATGCAAATGTGTATTTCTATCGCACATGTGCACATCGACTTATGCGCACATACATGCTGTAATTGTGTGCATATATTTACATACATACTTTGAGAGTTACATACAGAATGCATATGCACAGGCATGCTGCATGTCCACATATTTACACGCACACTGTACATGCATGCATATTATGTGTTTGCATACTTGATGTGGGTTGGATCGATAGCACAGCGGGTAGGGCATTTGCCTTGCATGCAGCCAACACGGCCGACCCGAGTTTGATTCCTCAGCCCCTCTCAGAGAGCCTGGCAAGCTACCGAGAGTATCTCGCCCTCACGGCAAAGCCTGGCGAGCTACCAAGTGTATCCCGCCCGCACGGCAGAGCCTGGCAAGCTACCCGTGACATATTCGATATGCCAAGCACAGTAACAAGTCTCACAATGTTACTGGGCCCACTGGAGCAAATTGATGAACAATGGGAGGACAGTGACAGTGATACTTGATGTATAGGTGTGTACATACTACATATGTACTACACACATCATTGAATGTACATGTGCCTATTGACATGCACAATGCATATTTGTATATGAGCATGTTTATAGATGCACTGCATATGTTCATATAGTCACACAAAATTTATAAATACATATTTACATAACAATGCACTATACATTGAGAATGCATACCTACTGATTTATACCTATTTACAAACCAACCACGTATATATGTCTATATACATATTAGCATACATCCTGCATATATGTGTCTATGCTCAGTCTGTGTATACGTGTGTGTGTGTGTGTGTCTGTGTGTGGAGAGAGAATGACATTCTCCCTTGCACCCTAGCTCAGAACTGCCCACAGTGAAACAGGAGAATAAACGTGAACCAATACAACTACTTAATTTTTTGGAACAATAGGGACAATGAAGACTATTCTGCGACCAAAATTCATCCCAACACTCACCATTCTCTTGCATATTCCAAAACTGTTAAAACTATGTAGAGAAATTAAAAGGTTGTAGAAGTAATTTATTTAATAGAACCACGACCAATATTAAGTGTGGAAGCATTCCGCGTCCTCATTAAAACATCATAAACTCATCAAACTTGAACAGAGTTTGCCTTCTCCCAGTAGAATTGAGTTCCACTAAGAAGCATCTCTGGAGGGGCTGGGAAATGCCGCCCACTTGGATCCCTTTCAGTGTTTATTTTGAACAGTTTGTCTTCTGCTAGTAGAATTGGCCTATCTAAAAAAGCATCTCGGTGGTGCCTGGGAAAAACATCTTCTCTGGATCCCTTTCAACTCATCTCCCTGGTGAGCTCTTAGTGTCCAGCGGTCTGAAACGTATCAGAAACCCCTTTAACATGAAACCCCCCCGGGGATGCCTCATGCTTTTTGGCACAACTTCTTCCCTCGTTCAGCTCCATTCACGGCTTCTCTCAATGCAGCCCAAGAACCTCTGAGTGGGTGACAATTTCTACAGGCCCATGTTTTTCTATTTTTCCTGTCTTCTGACTTTTTGTTCTAGCGTCACTTCATTCCGTCTTGTGTTCACAGATGTGCGCCTTAAAATCCCGATGAGAACCCCATTCCCCACCCCCTTCACCCCCTGGATCCAAGGATGGTAAAATAATAAAATCTGACATAGCTTGGAAGAGGCAATGGAGACTGTCCCCCCCCCCAGATTAAAGTTATAGAATATAACTTTAGTCACACAAAATTCATAGATACATATTTACATAACAATGCACTATACATTGAGAATGCATACCTACTGATTTATACCCATTTACAAACCTATTTTGAGCCAGAGAGGTAGGACAGCAGGTAGGACACACACATACACACACACACACATACACACACAAGAGAAAGACCTAGAAGTATTTCTATAAGCAATAGCATGAGAGTTTCTGTATTATAAAGACAGATTTAATGAAACAGAAGAATCACACCAACTGCCCCAACTTCAGTGGACTGGGGAGGGCTGGGGCAGTTCGTTCTCACTCTTGCCAGTTCCCCGTGTGAAATGTCACCCACCACTCAATGCAGGTTAGAGCTCTCTGATGGTTTAATAGTTTCCTCCCACTGAGATGAGACAAGATCTCTAATAGGGGGATGCCGGGAGTGGGCAGACACCTGAAGCATCCTTCAGTTTGGGTGTCAAGTAGCTCTTTCATTCAGACAAACCATATTGAAAACAGAAAAGCAGAGTTATCGATCCCTCCAGCCTCTCCCTCTCAAGGAAACAGACTGCTCTTCTCTGCGAATGGGCACAGCAATTTGGTTTTCTGCTGCGACAGCACAGTGGTAAGGTGTTCTGGGATGGCACAGATCAAACCTGGGTCGGCCACTTGCAGACCAAGTGCCCTATCTGCTTTCCTATAACTCCAGCCACAAGAATTCACTGATTTTCTATTCACTATGTAATAAATATCCACATCATACAATATAGCAGGGAGGAATGTTGTTGATGCAAGTAATCGAGAAATTGTTTTCATGACTCGTCAAATTAAAACTTATCCCCCTTAAGTGTTATAAGAGTAAATTATTATCATGTCAGTCTGGGCTCAGGAAGACGACCTCACGGAGGCATAAGACACCCAGGAACTTTGGGGGGATCACACCTGGCAGTGCTCAGGGTTACTCCTGTCTCTGCACTCAGGGATCACTCCTGCTGGTGCTCAGGGGAGTCTATGGGATGTCGGGAATCGAACCCCAGGTCTGTTGCATGCAAGGCAAGCACCCTACCCGCTTCAGCCCTGACCTCTTTTTAGTTTTTCAGGAAGCAACAATTAAAGACTTCTATTTAAGTTTTATTAACTATGCCTTTCACTGCAAGGGAAGGAGGGAAGAGTTTTTCTTCATTTGTTTTTAACTTGGCCCATTGTCCCTCTGAACAAAAATTCAAGCTGTTAGTTAGGAAGAAGACAGGTAAGTAGTCCGTTGGTCGCATCAGATGAGGGTCTGAACCACTCGCAACCAATATTACTTTTTAACCTGTTATATGTTTTGCAAGATTTTTAAATCACTCTATAAATTCCATAGGCAATGATAATCATGTACATGGGTTCTGGCTTCTGTCGCAAAGGTTTCAGTGCTGTACGATCTAGTCTGTATTCTCCCTGCACACATCAAATGAGCTGGATTGTTTTTTCTGTGTCTCTGAGTAAGGTTGGCACCATCTGGCGCTGTCGCATTTGACCCAGAGCTGCCACTCGCTCCATCAGACTGATCAGGAGGTGGGAAGGGCTGGCTCCAGGGTGCACTGTAACACAAAGCACTTGGTAATTAAATAGCCCTTGATTATAGCTGTTGCTCCCCACACGGTAAAATATCCATTGAAGAACTTGAATACAATTCTTCTGTGTTCATCACCAACAAGCAGACAGTCTCATTGTGAGAAGCATGTCAGGCTGCGATGAAGCTTTAAGGTTTAAAAGACAAGCAAACAGGGCCGGAGATCTAGTACCATGGGGAGGTATTTGCCTTGCACACAGCCGACCTGAGTTCAATCCTCAGCATGCCATATAGTCCCCTGAGTCCCTCCAGGAGTGATCCCTGAGTGCAGAGCTAGGAGTAAGCCCTGAGCATCACTCGGTGTGGCCCCAAAGCTAAACAAAGAGACATTTTTGTGTGCTCCTTCTTTCTCCTTTTCCTTTGGTTTTTGGAATACACCTGGAGATGTTCCAGGAATGCACTCAGCTTCTGCGGGGGCTCATGCCTAACATTTCTCAGGGACCATGCCATCTTGGGACCATGCCATCTTGGGGATCGATCTGGGGGCAACTGCATGCATAGCAAATGCTGTCTCTGGCCCCAATGTGCTCATTCTTTTTTTTTTTTGAAACAAATAGATTTTATTTGGAGGATTTTTAGGTATGGAGGGAGAGAGAGGGAGAGAGAGTAACGTACTCTAGAGAGAACACGGGCTTCTCCAAGGGCGGAGAGAGCCCCTACACACATCCTAGCATTAGACACGAAAGTATGAAAGTACACATCTCAAGAGGGGAGATGCGGGCGACACATGTGCTCAGCCCACATGTGCTTGGCTATGTGGGCACAAGCAGCACATGGGCGCAGGCAGCATATATACGCCAATGTGCTTATTCTTGATCTACCTTTCTCTCTATCTTAAATTCCTCCTAAAAACTA